GTATTTTAAACTGTATAAAAAAAATTGAAATCAATTGTGAAAATCCATTCCTTATATAGGACGGTCTCTCCTGTTCTATCCGTGATAATGGAAGATAAACTCTTGCTTGCAAATATTATTATTTATTTTCTTTGTATTGTGATCAAGTTTTGTTATATAAACTTTATATACTAAATTCTTGGATAATATTTTATTTATTAGTAAAAGTTATTTAAACACACACATGTATATATCTTTGGAAGAACAATGTACTAGCAGGGGGTTTGATAATATTTAATTATTACAATGATCATCAATGCACATTTATATATATATGTATGTAATTTTCTAAAAATTTTTTTTTTTTAAAATGGTGATTGATGACAAACAAAATTGTTTTATGTGGATTAGATTCGAATGAGCAATCTTACTGACAAATAGTTTTGGGTATTTATTAATTATTTGAGTGTTAATTGCTATTTTCTTTTATTCAAAAGAATTGTTTTGAAGGTAGGTCATTTATACATTTTGATTAATTAATGTTATTAACATAATAATAAATAATAGATCATTGTTATTAACATTTTGTAAATCTATTGTTTTAAATATACAATATATGCGATTATTTTATGATAATTGCTTTATATCTAAGTATGCAAATATATTCTTGTATCAACTTGAAATCACTTATTCCTATATAAATTTATTTTGTTTTCAAATTGCGTAATGATCATCAAGCCAATAAAATTTAATTTTTGCATGATATATGGAAGGGAAATTGTCACAAATATGTTCATTATGCTTTCTTTTGTAAAGTTATATTGATTTCTTTCTTATCACTTTCAATTTCACTTTGATCTATGCTTTCTAATACTATGCCCAAACCTAATGCCATTGATGGAGCCATCAATTGCTAAAGTCATTTGTAATAAATAGTCAGTTTCATTAATAAAGTGGCAAGCAATCACTAGGATTGCATCTAAGGTTTCTGGTCCAAACTGTTTTCTCAAAGTCCAAACTAGTTTGGGCAATTTGGGCTTCTCAACATTTTTTATAAACATGAACATTAAAAAACTATATCAATCAACTTATTTTAACTTAAACAACTTTAAAGTAATTTTGCCCAATTTTGGCTAATAACAAAAAATAGTTTGGGCTTATAAAAAAGTAATTTTTGCCCAAAGTGTTTCAGCAATTTCGGCTACTAATAAAGAGAGTTTTGGCCAGAAACCTTAATTGCATTCAGAGTATTATCTGCTGTATAGTCAATAATATCCCTAATGATATAACATGTTGAAGGAATTCGAAAATTCTTTACTAACTTCAATTATTTGTTTTATTTAGTATTTCCTTGATCATGGTGCTGATAATTTTTATATCCAACAATTTTTAGAGGACTAGAAATATGTTTCTACTTTCTTAAAGGCTAGTGTGCATGCAGATTGTTTTTAATAATAAAACAAAGTCTAAAATATGTCAATAATTAATTAATTATTACACTTTATTTTGACATACATTTATTGTAAATATCATTTGTAGGCTTTTGACTTATTTAACCAGTACATATGTAAACTTGATAAGTCAGTCACTCGATAAGTCGGTTTTAGCCTAACTTGGCCAAAAATTTTCACCCTGTTTTTTTACTATTTAAAAAAATTCGATAAGTCGGTCAATCACTTAGCCCAAGTATAATTAAATGAATCGCGATAAGTCGGTCTCACGTGATATCTCATTATGT